TGCTCCTGTCTTGCAACACGTCCAAATCATGTCAGATGGAGCTTCAGAATCCTTGCCTCTGAGGAGTAGCTTGGCTTTACCCACTCCAGAATGTACTTGTTTGTTCTCTTAGCAGTCCGTGATATATTCAGTATTCTTCTCCATCATCTCAGCTTAAAGGCATCAACTCTCCTTCTATCATCACTAATCATTGTCCAGCTCTCTGATGTATAGCTAGTAATTGCTAAGACCATGAATTGTTTACACCATAGAAATCTGCAAATGACACAAAATCAATGCTGTTATGCTCGTTTTCTTTCTTTCTTTCTTTCTTTCTTTCTTTCTTTCTTTCTTTCTTTCTTTCTTTCTTTCTTTTCTTTGTTTTGTTTCAGAGAACCATCTGTTTGACATTTATCCTAGCCAACCCCCGTTTCCAAAGTGAACTTCCTGTGCTGAGGTCTTTCCCAAATTTAACTTAATCTGACCAACTCTCACTGCTTCTCAGTTGTGATCACATCCCCACTGAGATATTAAATGTTACCACTGAATACCATTTTCTCTGCTAAATGGCAAGAAAGACAAGAAGAAGGAGGGGAATGTAGACCCCATCTGTAAGGCTTAGGCCTCAAAGTATGGCAGAACCATCCACATGCATCAGCCTGAAGATGCTCTTGCCGCCAATGATGTGGGCTTCTCTGTGGCAGGTGGGAGAAAAGAGATGGGTATAAAATAAAATAAACCAACAAGAGGCAGGGAAACATTTCTGGAGTTTTTAATAATCTTAATGGGAACTAAAGGGATCCGTCTATCATTCAAGCTACTGCTACCCAAGCATTTACTCTACTCTTATTGAGATGCCTCTGTTCCTCCTTGAGTACAGGAAAAGACAAAATAATAGAGACTCCGAGACGGTGGACGGTGCAGAAGGAGAAAAGGGAAATCTAAAATAGGATCCTTTGCCTACCTTTTGGTAATAGTTGTTTTTGTTGATTCTCAAAATAAACAGGCCTGCAATCCTTTCCACCATCTCCCAATATTTGTCCATAGGAGATGAAGATATTTGTCAGAACAAGACATCCTGCTGACTTTAGGAGGGAATTAAAAAAAAAAGGAAGCTACAAAACTCACCAGAGGGTCAGCAATAGGTCAGTTCCAACTCTGCGGTTCTCAACAAGTGAATTAAGAAGCACGATTGCTTTAGCGCATTGATAGTTCGCATATTTTGGAGGCTATGTTGCTACCTCCTCTAGTCCAGATTTATGGTAGTCACTCACCATTTGTGGTTACTGTGCTCTTGAAATGAGGCAAAGTCTGAGCTGAGATGCACTAAATGTATTACACATTCTATTTGGAAGACCTGATTAACCAAAAACTCAAAACTATCCCAAGGATTCTTATATTAAATAACTGTCAGAATCATAATACTTTGTTGGGTTAGGCTAAATAAAATCAATTTCTCCTGTTATTCTTTCATTCTTTTTTTTAAAATGTCATCTTATGAAATGAAATGTTGTGCTTCACCTGTGTCTCACATTGTGTTTTTATTGAGCCATTCTGTGTTATATTGTGTGGGTCTCACAAATAGTCCTTGAATTGTTCATGCAGCTTCTGTGGAATACTCTTTGTGACAGGGAACTCATTACTCCCAAGCAGCCTAAAGAAATTTCACTGGTCTTATTTTAATCCTTGGACCCATAAAGACTGTTAACCATCTTGCACATGAAAAACATTCAGGATGAATCAGTGATAATGCCCAACTCAGCATCCCAGCTGTCTTCTCTCTTGGAAGTCAATTACTCTTCCTCTAGCACCGGTTACTAATTGACAGCTATACCTTGTAGGGAGTTCTAGGGCCAAGCAAGTAAGAAGTTGCACTGTCAACTCAAAGGCAGGCAATTCTAATCCACCAGATGCTCCACAGGAAAAAGATGGGCAATCTCTACCCTTGTAATTTACAGTCCCTGAAACCTGGCTGAAAGGTCAATTATGAGTTGGTTGCAACTCCACAGTAATGAGCTCTTCCTTGTAGCCATTACTAAAGGGAAATATTACCTTAGACCCCAAGGATCTTCTCTCAGTGTATTTCTTGGGAAACCTCTCCTTTAAGCATTCAAGGTAGTTGGAAAATGACTGGACTATCAGTTTTAAGGCAGTTCTGAATGGATGCCACTGAGTTGACTTCCTAATGTAGGAAGGGAAACTCACTGCTCTTAATAGTTAATAAAAGCCCTTATTTTGAACCACATACTGCTTTAAACACTTCACACATTGATCACCACACACACCCAATCATCACAACAGCTGATGGGACATGTTACATATGAGTCCCATTTTATGAAACCCCTATTTTATAAACAAAGAAACTAACCCACAAAGAAATTAAGTCAGTTGCCCAAAGTCACAGTACTAGAGATGCTGCCTTCTCTTGGTTTTTACAGGAGCTCTAAAGTCACAGTACGTAACGTATCAGTTGGCTAACCACAAGGTTGGCAGTTTCCTGAAACACTCAAGGGTTCCATGGGTGCAAGATGAGGTAGTCTCTTCCCCGTGCCACTTACAGCCTTGAAAACCTGATGGAGTGTCATCATTAATCAGTAGAATCAACTCAAAGGCAGTGACTTGGGTTTGGTTAGAGGTACTTCTAACATTTTTGCTATGTTCCATTGAGTATCCATTCATAGCAACCCCATGTGACAGAGGGAAACTGCCTCTTAGGATTTTCTGGACCTTAATATTTAGGGCAGGGTGCTCTGGTGGCTTAGAGGTAAGGAATTCACTGCCAACCCAAACCCAAAGGAGTACAGTTGGAATCCATTAGCTGCTCTGTGGGAGGAAGATAGGCATTGTCCCTCTGTGAGATTAACTGCTTCTGAAAACCCACTGGAGGGTGGGCTATTCATCTGTCCGACTTGATGGTACCCAATGACAACAATGTCTAGAGCAAGGTTCAAATCCTTTGATCAGAGGCTCACTATGAGTTGTAATTGACTTGATGGCATCTAATGACAAATATTTACATAGGAAGCTCTTGTGACATAGCAGAGGGGCCGACCAAATCCACTAATTGCTCTGTGAGAGAATGATGGGCAACCCCCTCAGGCGATCTATAGTCTCTGAAAATCCACTGGAGGGTCAATTATGAGTCCAATTGGAGAACAATGTCCAAAAACAACCATTAAGAGGGCAAGCTAGAGACCAGGTCTGTAGCAAGTTGTCCTGTTCACCTGGGGCTGCACATACGTGGTGGTTCTAATCATTTAGCCCCCCCGCTCTTTGAGAGAAAGTCGCCCAGTTTTCTCCTTTTGTGACTTGTATCCTCAGAAGCTTGATGGAGGGTTGCTGTGAGTCAGACCTGACTGGACAGCAGTGAGCTTGAGTTTTATTTGTTTCAGGCTTTTGTTGTTTAGTCTTTACCGAAGCAGATCACCAGGCCTTTGTCCTGTGGAACTGCTGGGCAGGTTCTCACCACCATTTCAGTTAGTGACGGATTGCTTAACTACTTTGCTATTAACACATTTTTTTGTCTGCATAACACTGTTTAATCCTGCTTAATGCTTATTATAATGTGCCCTTTTCAGTGCTCATATCTTGGTATGTTTCTGGTGGCAAGAATTCAGTTAGCCATCCTCTTCATCCTCTGGACTAAAGGAGTTCTGGTGGCCTAGTGGTAAGAAGCTGCCCTGCAATCTCGAAGGCACATGGTTTGAATATCCTAGCTGCTTTGTGGGGAGAAGGGTGTGCAATCTCCTCTAGTGTGATTTACTGCCTCTGAAAAGCTTGCTGGAGGGTCAGGTAACACACAGTGACGGGCAGTGTCATTGGCATAAACAGTGCTCAGTAAACAATTATTGATTGGGCTGAAAAACAAACAAAAAAGACCAAACAAAAACTGCAATGCTGTGGAGTCAGAACCCTCTCAGAGCTGACCCTCCAGACGCTTTCTGGGGCTATAAATTACAAGAGAGGATATTACCCATCTTTCTCCTGCAGAGAAGCTGGTGGACTTGAACCGCCAGAGAGGTCAGCAGAGCAACTCCCTACTGACGAGATCACTAGCACTCTCTAGAAATGGAAAATCAGGAACTTAATAATCAAGGTGGAACTTCCTCTTATATAATCACCAAATAGCACAGGGAGGGAACATTTTACAAGCTCACTCAGAGGTTGAATCAGGCTGTGTCTGAAGAAACACAGAAAGACTCAATAAGGTCTTTATTTGATAATTTGAAAAAGCTCTGAATCAGTCTGCAGTAAGGAAGAAGGAAGCTTGCTTTGGCCATAGTTTGAAAGATCTGGAATGCAGCCAGGGACAGATTTGTTAGCAATATATACAGTGTCTGACTAGAATGGCTCACAGAAAAAGAAAGCTATGTTGTAAATATCACAGGGAATCCCTTTGGAGAGCATGCTCTGTGGTCCTGTCCTTAGACCTAGAAAGAGGGGTGACATGGTGCTGCCTTCCCCCCCCCAAAAAAAACCACACTCAGAAGAGATTTGTGGGGTGTTAGGTGGAAATAATGAGCATTGAAAATCAGAATTAATAAATTACCAAGAAGGATGATGGGATGAAAGAGGGGAGAAGAACACAGAGTTTGCAGAGCTCAGAGCAGCACCGCAGTCCTGCCCAGCATCCCCCTCCTCCTACTCTGCAACATCCATGCCCAGCAGCCAGGTGGAGGCTGCAGGCTGAGCCCCAGGGCTCCCGAGGTGGGTGTTCTGTCGCGACTCTTATGAAGGTGGATAGACAAGGCATCTACAGCTGACCCAGGAGGGAGGTTTACCAAAGGTTCCAAGCCCAACTGAGGCCTCCACCTCCAAGCAGACTTACCCGACAGCAGAACAGCCACCTGAACAAGAGAGAGAAGAACCAGCAGCACCAAGCTTGTGTCCTTTGCTTCCATTGATGATGAGGAGGGGATTGGAGGGGGGGGGCAGAAAAAAGCCAGGACAATGAAGGCACCAGATGACCCCCCTCCAACCAGGGCTGCTCAGCTGAAAAGAAGTGTGGAGGAAGCTCTCACTTTTAAAGGGCTCTCCTATGTAGGGGAAACCTCCAATAAGGAGATATCCTGTCACATGAGAGTGTTTGGAAAAACAGGAATTCAAAGTGACAACTTTGCTTTGTAAGCTAACTTCTGAGAAGAGCAGAAATAGAGGAAGAGAGAAGGACACACGTGGGAGAAGGGTGAGGCGGCGGAGGAGGCACTGGTCCACGGAGCAGGAGAGACGCCAAGCAGCCTTGGGTCTGCTGTCCACTCGATGGGGCTGGGTGGCAACATACATAACGTCCTGAGCCAGAAGTAGCCGAACCAGGGGCGCCTCTGGCAGCCAAACCACGCTCTAAAGCCACAGGCACTTACCGGGCAGTTTTTGGGAAGGAAGCAACACATAGTTAAAGGCTAACACAGATTCTCCTCCACATTCAGTTCTTGGAATGTTTCTTTCTTTCTTTGAAAGCTGCCGTAGAAACATACCACACAATGTTTTACATCTCTTGTTGGAAGAAAAGGAAAAGGAAGGTTAAACCATAAAAAGATCTCGATTGAACCAGGAAAGGGAACAAAATAGATGAAAACCAGAGGAAACTGTGGTAAAGTGTTTGCACCAGTAAAGGTCCAGTCTAGTTCCCTCCTAAAAGCCCTAGAAGCCCTAAAAGAGCAGTGGGCTCAGTGCAGGACTCTATCCCAAAGATCAGAGAACACTGGTGGCTTCATGGTAAGCAAGTGTAATCCTGGCCCAAAAGCACACAGCTTGACCCTACTGGCTGCTCTGAAGGAGATCTCCTGCGTCATTCATGGCCTCTGAAAACCAATCATGAGTCAGTTCCAACTGCACAGTACATAACAACATCCAAAAGACCAGAGTTTCAAGCCTCACAGCAGAAGAAAAATGAGACCATCTGCTCTCATGAAGACTTAGAGCTCCAGAAACCCAATAGGGACATTCTGCTCTGTCCTATAGTGACCTTCTGAATCAGAATCAATCTAATGGCACGAGTATGGGCCCAGACCCAACTACAATGATCCTCCACAGGATCACATGAGTTTTCTTGCAATAAAGAGAAAATCCGATTGTTAAGTGAGAAGATATATAATAATTTTGTAGCAAGTGCAAGCCTTTCTTTGAAAACTGTTAATAGATCTCTCATAAACACAGGAATAAGCCCCACAACACCTAATTCTTATGTAAAAAATGAATTCAGAATCATTTGGAGTGGATATCATAATCAGATAGCCAACTGACAACTAAACTGTGGGAAATGCTAACAAATAAAAGAGCAATGTTGCCACTGTTGTAGAATGAGGCTGGCATTGGGGTGGGGGTAAGACTGAGAAAAACTGGATGAAATATGTTTACGGCATTGAAGTCTATGGG